TGGCGTCAGTGCCCCACACGCTGGTACTGGAAGCTGGTTCCTGTAAGTGGGGCCCTCTGCCCCGTCTGCCTGCCTGCTTGTCGCTCTGTGTCTGCCTGTCTGCTCCTTCTCCTACCCCCCAGCTGTGAGCAAAGGAGGTGTGACCCGCAGCCCTGGGGGCAGAGAACCCCTCTGAGAACCGAGAGAGGGGGGATCTGCTGTTCACTGAGCGGGCAGGCCCCCCCTCAGTCAGAGGGTAGATCTCCGTTAGCTTGTCAGCCTGAGCTGAGGGCGGAGTCCGGACCCCAGCCCGGCAGACACGGCCCTGACCCTGATGGGGCGGGTGATGGGTGAGACCCCTTCCAGCCCGAGGACGGCCCACACCCAGAGGGGCGGACTCTTCCCGGCTCCAGCTTCCTGGGGACAGATCCAGTCTTGGGGTGGGAGGTGCCCATCCCTGAAGCACAAGGGGAAGTGACGGCTGACTGTGGGGGACCTGGGGCTGGATGGGTCCCTGCCTTTTCTCACTCCAGGCCTCTTGCCCCACCCGGGGGGCCTAGGTTGGGGTTCCTCTCCTTTTGCTTACCTGCTTCCTTTCCCTGAGCTGGGCCTGGGTCTTCGTGGGGGGAGGATTCCCTGCATGGAGGCTGCTCTGGGGGGTCCCCTCAGGCTGGGAGGAGCCGGGGTCCCCAAAGCCGGCCAGAGTGCAGGCAGGGAGCTGGACGGCCAAGGGCTCGGACGGGGCTCAGGGCTTCCTCCCTGCTCCCGGAGCTGTGCTTGGGCCCGGCAGTCAGCACCCTCCCCCCGCTGACGGCTGCTCCTCTCCCCCCAGCACGCAATTGCCTTCTGTTTGAAGGAGTCGGGGAGCAAACCCCCCATGGTAATGTATCCCCCACCCCGGTCCCAGGAGCCCCTCCCCAGCCCCACGCTGGCCTGGCTGCTCGAAGACACCTCCTCTGCCTGCTGCTGCCCTCCCCCGCTCCAGGCTGGCCCTCACTCTGGCTCTGGGACCCCCCCTCGTGGCGGAAACCCCAAGCTTCCCTGCCCAGCCTGCATGACCACTAACTGAGGGCCAGCCTGGCCTCTGACCTGACCGACTCCCACCCGCAGATCCGGTATCGCAAGGACCGCACTGCGGCCCGATGTGCCCCCTGCTTTCCCACCGTGACTGGCCTCCAGGACCTGTCCAGCGGGGCCGCCCTGGCCGCCACGATCCACTGCTACTGCCCCCAGCTGCTGAGACTGGAGGGTGAGTGACCAGCCGGGCCAGACGCCCTCCCCGGGCCCGGCGTCCAGGCGTCGGCTCCCCGAGTGGTGCAGCCGCTACCGGTGCAGCGTCCGACGCCGGCCGACCTGGCGTTAACCTCTTCCCCTGATTAGCTGGCGACTTCACATAGTGTCTAAGCTGGTCTGTGCTTCATAAGATTCATTCCTGCAGCAAATATTTCTAGAGTGAACTGTGTGCCAGGCTTCGTTGTAGAGGCCAGGGATCCAGTGGTTCACATTCTAGTTTGGAGAGAAAGACAGCAAGTTCATCTGGAAGAAAGTGTTCAGTGCTGGAGAGTGCTGGGCAATCAGGAAAAGTTTGTTTAAGGTTTTTAGAGAGAGAGGGAGGAAGAGAAACATCGATGCCAGAGTGAGACTCCTGCACACCCCTTCTGGGGATTGAGCCCACAACCCAGGCATGTGCCCTGACCGGAACGGAACCTTCGGTGCATGGAGGACACCCGCCACTGAGCCACACCAGCGGCAGGGGAGCTTTTAGAGTTGAGTCCTTGGGGACTGGTGGCCTAGGTTTTGGAAGTAGCCGTGCAGAGACCTGGCCCAGTACCTATCTCAGCACCCGGCTGGTGGAGGGTGCCTGGCGTTAGACCCACAGGCGGCCTCCCTTTTCTGGGGCCCCTTCTCATAGCCCGGCATTCTGCCCCCACAGAGGTGTGCCTCAAGGACCCCATGTCGGTGGCGGACAGCCTGTACAACCTCCAGCTGGTGCAGGATTTCTGCGCCTCCCGCCTTCCCCGTGGTTGCCCGCTGTCCCTGGAGGACCTGCTCTATGTGCCGCCACCCCTCAAGGTAAGGCCGCTTTGGGCATGCGGGCCCGTGGGCATCCAGGACCGTGGTCCCTGGGCTCACCCTGCCTTCCGCTTCCAGGTCAACCTCGTGGTGCTGTTGGCGGAGATGTTCATGTGCTTCGAGGTGCTGAAGCCGGACTTCGTGCAGGCCAAGGACCTGCCTGACGGCCACGGTGAGGCCTGGCCCGGGGTCCAGGTGGGGGTGGGGGCCGAGCTCGGACTGACCCTCCTCTCTCTGCTGCAGCCGCGTCCCCCCAGGCCACCGAGGCCGCCACCCCTCAGAACAGCAGCGGCAGTAGGTACGCTTTTCCCACGGGTGAGAGTCCGCACCTGGCGCTGCTCCTCCCGGCTGGTCACTGGGACAGGCTCAGGGATGCTCTGCTGTGCCCGGGAGAGGTGAGGGGGGGCCCTGGCTGACGCGCATCTCTTGGCAGTTCTCCTGTCTTCAACTTCCGCCATTCGCTCCTGTCACCTGGTGGCCCCCAGTCCCCACTCCGAGGATCCACAGGTGAGGGCACAGGCATGTCCCTGAAGCCCCCGCCCTAAAGACCACCCAGCTGACTCATGTCACCTTTGACCCCTCCACTGGGTCTCTTTGGCCCAGTAACACTCATTGACCCCACCCTGACCAGTGGCTCAACAGGACTTTCTAATAACGTTAAACGGACCCCTGCTATCCGTCCACTATCCCACCCATGGCCCCCAGTGACCCCACCCCCTAGTGACCAGTGAGTGGCCCCCCTCATAGTGACCACCAAGTGGCCCCTCCCCACCCTCCCAGGCTCACTGAAGTCCTCCCCATCCATGTCCCATATGGAGGCCCTGGGCAAGGCCTGGAACCGGCAGCTCAGGTGAGTGCATCTCCAGGGCCTGGGCAGTGGGGGCTGGGCCGGCTGGGGCTGGGGTGGGGCGGGGGCTGACCCCGGGGCTGACCCCTCCCTCTGGCCGCCCAGCCGTCCCCTTTCCCAGGCTGTGTCATTCAGCACCCCCTTTGGCCTGGACAGCGACGTGGACGTCGTCATGGGAGACCCGGTCCTTCTCCGCTCTGTCAGCTCAGACAGCCTGGGCCCCCCGCGCCCAGCGCCGGCCCTGGCCCCCGCCCACCCACCCCCGGAGCCCGGAGACCTGCCCACCATCGAGGAAGCCCTGCAGATCATTCACAGCGCCGAGCCCCGGCTACTCCCGGACGGGGCTGCTGACGGCAGCTTCTACCTCCACTCGCCCGAGGGGCCCTCCAAACCCCCGCTGGTCTCCCCCTACCCCCCCGACAAAGCACCCGCCTACTTGCCCCATGAGAGCCCCTCAAAACTGTCCCCCTGCCGGGCAGGGGAGGCACTGTCTGAGGGCTCCCCGAAGGCGGGGTCAGCCTCAGCTGCCAGCAACTCTGAAGTGAAGATGACCAGCTTTGCTGAGCGCAAGAAGCAGCTGGTGAAGGCCGAGGCCGAGGCAGGGGCGGGCTCCCCGGCGTCCCCCCCCGCAGAACCGGCGGCTCTGAGCTCAGAGATGAGTGAGCTGGGAGCCCGGCTGGAGGAGAAGCGGCGGGCCATAGAGGCCCAGAAACGGCGGATAGAAGCTATCTTTGCAAAGCACCGCCAGCGACTGGGCAAGAGCGCTTTCCTGCAGGTGCAGCCCCGGGAGGCCGGAGGGGAGGCCGAGGCCGAGGCCGAGGCCGAGGCAGGCCCTGCCCCTGGTGGGGAGCGGCCAGCGGGGGAGGGCCAGGGTGAGCCGTCCTCACGGCCCAAGGCGGTGACTTTCTCACCAGAACTGGGCCCAGTGCCCCCCGAGGGCCTGGGGGACTATAACCGGGCAGTCAGCAAGCTGAGTGCTGCCCTGAGCTCATTGCAGCGGGATATGCAGAGGCTCACAGACCAGCAGCAGCGGCTCCTGGTCCCGCCCGAGGCCCCCGGACCCACCCCACCTCCTGCTTCGTGGGTCATCCCTGTCCCCATGGTGGGTCCCAAGGCTGCATCTGCCAGCCCCACACGGCGAGCCCCCGCCGTCCGGCGCAGCCCGGGGCCTGGCCCCAGCCCGACGCCCCGCAGCCCGAAGCACGCGCGGCCAGCAGACCTGCGACTGGCGCCCCTGACCAGGGTGCTCACGCCTCCCCACGACGTAGACAGCCTCCCGCACCTGCGTAAGTTCTCGCCGAGCCAGGTGCCCATGCAGACGCGCTCCTCCATCCTGCTGGCGGAGGGGCCGCCGCCAGGGGAGCCCGCGGCCAGGCCCGGCCTCATCGAGATCCCCCTGGGCAGTTTGGAAGAGCCCTCGGCCGAGAATGCGGGGGATGGGAGCCCCCCTGGTGCCGACGATTCCCTAGAGGAGGACGGCTCTTCAGAGGGAGCTCCCCGCACTGGGCTGGGCTTCTTCTATAAGGTGAGCGCCTGGCGGCGGGGCGGGTGCATGGATGGGAGAGGGGAGGTGGGGGGTGTTGGAACGATGGGCGCACGCATGGTCAGGCGGGTGGGTGGAAGGCGGGCGGAAGGTGGGCGGATGGGTAGAAGGTGGGCGGATGGGGGCTAGGTGGGGGGGAGTGGGCAGTGTGTGCGGCCGGATGGACAGATAGGTGGGGTATGTGGACACAGATGGGGGTGTGCAGATGGATAGGTGGGTGGGTGATGGACAGAATGGACAAACAGGGCAAGGGTCATCAAGTACATCTCCTTCCCCCTCCTGCTGTCTCCTTCACACGCCCCCTTCCTTCCCAGTGGCCTTGCCAGTCCCCCTTCCTGACCCTGTCCTAGTTCCCGTTACTCTTCATCCTCCTGGCACTCAGCCTGGGCCACATCTCTCACCTGGACACCTGCAGTCACATTTAAAAAAAACAGATTTTTAAAATTGATTTCAGAGAAGGGAGAGGGAGAAACACCATTGTTGATCAGCTGCCTCCTGCACACCCCACACTGGGGATGGAGCCCACAACCTGACCCGTGTGCCCTGACTGGGCATTGAACTGTGACCTCCTGGTACAAAGGTTGATGCTCAGCCACTGAGCCACACCGGCCAGGCTGCTGTTATATTTTGTCTGGTATGCACTGACCCCCTCTCCCAAATGCCTGCCATTTCCAGCTGAGCAGCAGAGATGTTCCGAGTGCAGATTGGTCCTGGTCACTGTCCTATTAAAATCCCCTGAAACCCTCTTTGCTCTTAGCTAAACCCAGTCCTTAGGCCCTGCTCGATCCTGTGCAATGCCGTCCTCCCAGCTCCGCGTCCCGACACGTCTCCTGCTGCCCCCATGCTTGCTGGGCTAGTGCTGCCTCAGGGCCCTTGTACGTGCTCCCTCTGCTCTCCCCCCTCCTCCTCCCCTGGGTGCTCCTTCAGGAAGCCTGCAGACTGGCAGCTGTTGGTGCGGTAGCACATGCCTTCCCCACTGGGTCAGTGTTTTGTGGGAGCAGCTCCCAGGTCTGCCCTGCCCTGCCCTGTGTGTCAGTACCCAGCACGTGGGGCTGAGCATAACGTGGGTGCCAGCTAAATGCCTTTAGAACAATCACAAACCGAAAGTACAGGTGAGTGGCTGGCGGCTGGGCTGACTGGTCCAGGGAGACACCAGCTGGACTCTGCCTGCCCCAGGATGAAGACAAGCCCGAGGACGAGATGGCCCAAAAGCGAGCCAGCCTGCTGGAGCGGCAGCAGCGGCGGGCGGAGGAGGTGCAGCGCCGGAAGCAGTGGCAGGAGGCCAAGAGAGAGCAGCAGAGGGAGGAGGCTGCACGGTGAGGCCGGGCAGTCCAGGGACCCTTGCACCCGAGACCCCGTCACCCGCCTGACGGCTCCCTCCCTCCGCCTGTAGGCTGGCCCAAGAGGAGGTGGCCCCTGCGCCCCCCGCCCCCGCTGCAGAGGAGGTGGGCCCCCGGCGTGGGGAGTTCACTCGGCTGGAGTATGAGCGCCGGGCCCAGCTGAAGCTGATGGATGACCTGGACAAGGTGCTGCGGCCGCGGGCCTCGGGGCCAGGCCGGGGCGGACGGAGGGCCCCCCGGCCACGCTCTGGCTGCTGTGATGACTCTGCTCTGGCTCGAAGCCCAGCCCGCGGCTTGCTGGGTGAGGACCCGGGGGGAAGGGGTGGATATATTGCGGGGGCCACAGTGGGTGAGGAAGGTCTCAGGAGGACTGTCCTGCCTGCTCGGTGAACACTTCCAAAGGGTGTGGGGTTGCAGTAGAGGAAGGGCTGTTGGGCAGAGCTGGCTTAACAGAAGAAGCTCCTTGGGTGCGTTTGGGGGTGGGAGGTTTCTGCTCAGGCTGCACAGGGTGAGGGTTTGGGGGCAGGGATGACCTCGCATTCCCTCCCAATCTGCCAGGCAAGGCCCCACTAGGCACTTCGGGAGATGAGGGGGCTTTGAGTGGGGTCTGACCCATGCACTCTATCCCTAGGTTCCCGGCTCAGCAAGGTCTACTCCCAGTCTACCCTGTCCCTGTCCACAGTGGCCAATGAGGCCCCCAATAACCTCGGCGTGAAGAGGTCCACGTCTCGGTGAGTTTGGCCTCTCAGTCTGTATGTGCATATATGTGAGCTTTTGAGAGTGACATGGCATGAGTGAGTGAATCTGCCACTAAAGGCTGAAAGGGCAGCTACAGGGACAAGTGGGGTGTCTGTCCTGAGGGACAGGACCTACAGCTGTGCTGAGGCCCTGAGCGAGGGCACTGCATGCACCGGGTGTGTACAGCGCACAGTACGGCTCCCTCTGCAGAGGCTGCAGGCTGTTCCTTCCCTAGCCCCCTGCACACTGGCAGCTTCACTTGCCCAGCCCCAGACTGCGTCTCCCCCGTCCTTCCCTGCAGGGCTCCGTCCCCGTCGGGCCTCATGTCCCCAAGCCGCCTTCCTGGCAGCCGTGACTGGGAGAACGGCAGCACGGCCTCCTCACCTGCTTCAGTGCCTGAGTACACCGGTGAGTGGGCGCAGGTGGCCGGTGCTGGGCCCTCCCTCCCTGCCCCTCCCTGCTGACTGCCCTGCCCCCAGGTCCCCGGCTGTACAAGGAGCCCAGCGCCAAGTCCAACAAGTTCATCATCCACAACGCCCTGTCGCACTGCTGCCTGGCGGGCAAGGTGAACGAGCCGCAGAAGAACCGCATTCTTGAGGTCAGTCAGTGCCCAGGGTGGGTCCGGCGGGAGGGGTGGGGCCTCGCCGTGCTGGCTGACCACCCCTGCCCACCAGGAAATTGAGAAGAGCAAGGCCAACCACTTCCTGATCCTCTTCCGGGACTCAAGCTGCCAGTTCCGGGCCCTGTACACGCTGTCAGGGGAGACGGAGGAGCTGACCCGGCTGGCGGGCTACGGCCCCCGCACCATCACGCCCGCCATGGTTGAAGGCATCTACAAGTACAACTCCGACCGCAAGCGCTTCACCCAGATCCCCGCCAAGACCATGTCCATGAGCGTGGATGCCTTCACCATCCAGGGGCACCTCTGGCAGAGCAAGAAGCCCACCACCCCCAAGAAGGGGAGTGGTACCCCCAAATAGCCCTGCCCGGGTGGTGCACGGCCACCACCCTCTCAGAGGACACTCGGGGGATTCCTGGGTCCTGTCTGTCCCTAACCTTGTCTGGGTGGGGCTGGAGTCCCCACCCTCTAATTTTCGTCTCATCCTGCTGTGGGGCTGAGCTGGGAGGTTCAGGGACTCAGGGCTCAGCTCAGTCCCCCGTCTGTCCTCCTTACCTTCTTGAATAAAATAATTTAAAGTGACCTTGAGCACTGGTGTCGCCCGAGGCTGGCTGGGGTACCTGGTGTATCTGCCTGAGAGGGTTTCCCAGTTTCCTGTCTCCTAGTCGCTCCTGAACCTGTCCGTCTCTTCAGCTCCCTTGCTGGCCCTACACAGCTCTGGCCAAGGCTGGTCTTCCCTGCTAGCATCCCCACCCCATTCCTTAGCCATTTCTCAGCCCTGCTCTCCGCATGGCCTTCCTCATCCCGGTTCTCCTCCCCAGCATGCCTGTTATTTGCCTCTCCTGGCACTTGGTCTGTGGCCAACGGCTAAACTTGATCGTCTCTTCCAGCTGCCTGCCTACATCTCTAGGCTGGTTACCGCCCCTGAGCCCGGATCCCCATGTTGTCTCCTCAGAGCTCCTGGCAGGCCGGACGTCTGACGCCTACCCCAGAGCGTGAGCCAGGCTGGCCGTCTCCCTGGAGCTCTGGCCAGGGAGGGAGCAGCTTCCCAGTGCCATCCAGTACCGCACACTTTGCCCCCAAAGCCTCCCCTGTGCTCTATCGCTTCGCTGTCCCCATGACCCCCTAGTCCAAGTCAGCAGCCTGGTCTCCCCATACTCCCAGCAACCTCCTATCACAAGCCAACCCCACAGCAGCCTGCATGGCCTATTCAGGACACAAATCTGATTACATCCCTAAATGCCTAAAATCCCTTAATAGCTTAGAGCCTGCTAATGGTTTCCCAGAGCTTAACCTAAAGGCACACCATGGTGTGGCCCAGGGCCAAGTTCTGGCTCCTGGCCTCTGTCTAGGAGAGAGGTGCCTTGCTAAGTCGCAGGGACTGTCTACCTTTCAAGCTAGCTGACCAGTCTTCCCAAGGAAAGCTGGGATCTCCACCTGCTGACTAGGGTGGCAAGACAGACCTCAGGGCAGGGGCTGGTGAGACTGGGCAGATGGGGGCCAGGCCCCGCCTCTCCGAGGCTCAGGGATCAAAGAGGCCTCAGGCAGCCCAAGTCCAGAACTGGCTCTGCCGGGTGAGGATGGGCATGTGCCCTGGCCCAAAGCCCAGTGGCACCGCCTCCCACACCAGCCAATCCGAGGGTGGAGGGGGCAGGGCCAGAGAGAATGAGCTGGCAGTCCCTGCAGGCACCTGGTGGCAGGAGGAACAGGCAGGAAGGAGGCTCAGACCAAGTCATACAAACAGGTTCATTGTAAACGGGGTGGGGGTGGGGGTAGGGTAGGGAGCGCACATCAGTCTTCCTTCAGGCTCCCAAACACGGCAGCCGGCACACTCTGCTGCTCCAGCCGCACCTCTGGAAGGCGGAGAGGGATGGTCACTGGCGACTCTCCAAAAAGGGCCCCGCCCTGCCTCCCTCTCCACCCCGCTGGGCTGGCCGCCCCTCACCATTGGGCTCCAGGTCCATCTCGTCCTCATCCTCGTCCTCCCCCAGCTCGATCTCCTCCGGGTTGGCCTGCTGCGCCAGCTCAGCCAGTTCCTCCCGGGACGCGTCACTCCTGGGCGGGGGAGTCACTGTTCAGTGGTCCGGCCACCCCCCTGGCCTCCGCAGGAACCTCCCTCCTGAGAAGAACTAACTGGCTTGCTGCCCCCCCACCCCCGTCCGCGATCCTCACCTCACAAACAGGATCTTGCTCTGGGCCCGTGGAGGCTGGTCGTGCTCGGCCTCGGCTGCCAGCTGCTCTGCCCGCTGCTCTAGTAGCTTCATGTCATCCATGCCACTCTGCCCGGGGGCTAGGTCGGAGACTGGGAAAGCAGGAGGGGCATCAGCACGTTGGAGGGCTCTCCACAGCCACGCCATGTGGAGAGACCCCCCGTCCCCAAAAGCTGAACCTGCTGCCCCAGTTCCAAGAGGTCGAGGCTGGGGAGAGGGCTGAGGCAGGGGAGTGTGTGGCCCCAGGGAGGACCCATCCATGTGAAGGGTGGCCGCGGCTGCTCACCAGTGCCTGTAGCGCTGCCCGACACCTTGAGCATCTGTGAGGCCATGAAGTTGACCTGTGTGTTGTAAGTGGCCTGCACACTTCGGCGGATACGCAGCATCTCCCGGATGGTGTCCTCGTTGCCATGCCGTACCTCGAAGTCCTTCCATGTTTGCCAGAAGGCCCCAGTTGTCTGTGGAGAGGGGGTGCCTGTGTAGGAGCTGGCCAGCTCAGCTGCTGCCTCCCCACGCTCACCCACCGCTCATGCCTACCCGAGGGTCACAGATCTGGGAGCAGAAGCTGTAGATGGCGCGGGCACGGTCGATCTCTCCCAGCTTACACTCCATGTCCGCAAACCGCAGGCACATCTCCCGGGCGTGCTCGTCCGACAGCACCTGGGGGATGCCGATCACCAAGAACAGCATGAGGTGGGAGGAGAGCTGCCACAGGAGATCCCAGCACAGCAGGCTGGTCCCTGAGCTTCCGAATGCTCTCTGCCAGCCCCCGGGTCCAGGCATGCTCAGATCTGCCAGCCCCAGGTCCCCTCCCATCTTCTAAGGCAGCAGTCGCCAACCTTTCGGACCTCCCCGGTTGGCAACTGCTGTTCTAAGGGACCTGCAGCCCCCTGCCCCATGGCCCTGCAGTGGGCACCTCAATGGCCTTCTGGTAGATGCTACGGGTGTGGGTGACTCCATAGATCTCCGCTGCCCGCTTGATGTAGATGTTGAACATCTCGTACTGCTGGGCGGGCTCCACGGCCTGGGTGGCGCGCTCGTACACGGCCATCGCGTGCCGGGCCAGGCCCCACTCCTCCTCCAGCTGTGCGTACAGCAGGTACAGGGCTGTGGAGGACAAAGGCAGGTCAGAAATCTGTGCCCTGGCCCCCCGCCCCACCACCCTCCACTGAGCCACCTGGCCCTCCTCACTCTTTGCGTATTTGGGGGGGCAACCATCCAGCGCCTGCTCAAAGAGGTCCCGAGCCCGCTCCAGCTTGCGGCCCCCGTAGCGGGCGATGAATTTGGTCAGATAGGTGCTCCAGATGTCAGACACATTGGGCCACTTGAACAGCGAGATGCCACGCTCGTACGCCTGCCCAGAGGGGGAGTCATGAGTGAGTCCTCAGGGCAAGGACAGCCCACAGACCCATCCCCACACCCTCTCTCCCCTCACACAGAGGCAGGACTCTGTGCTGGGGATGGAATGAACTATGACCCTTGAAATTCATGTTCAAGCCTAACTCCAGTATCTTAGAATATGACTATATTTGGAGATAAAGTATTTAAAGAAGTAATTAAGTTAAAACAAGGTCATTTGAGTGGCCCCTAATTTAATATGATGGGTGTCCTTAAGAGGAAACCTGGACACATGGAGGGACACCAGAAACAGACACAGATGAACAAAGATGGCCACCTACAGGCCAAGAGTAGGCCTCAGAAGGAATGAAGCCTGCTACCACCTTGACCTCAGACTTGCAGCCTCCAGAGCTGCGTGGTAATAAATTGTTGTGCGTCAGCCATGGCACCAGGCTTCAGACGCCTGAGCAAACCAACACGGCCACCGCTGTGCTGTCTGGGATCCCCCGACGGGCTCTCCGCACCTTGAAGCTCTCCTCGAAGTACTTGTGCTCCTCCAGGAACATGGCATAGTTGATGACAATCTGGGGGGTAGCGATGCGCAGGTCCAGAATACGGTCATACACGGCCTTGGTAGACTGCAGGGGCAAGGGCAGGTCAGAGCACATCCTGGGGCTGAGTTGGCAACCCCACCACTCTCCCATGATGCATTGGGTCTTGGCAGCTCACCTGAAAGGTGCCAAGGCTTTCCTCCAAGTCGGCAAGCATGGACCACACCTTCAATGATTTGTACACACGGTTCTGCACAGGCTCCGAGCCATCAAAATACTCAGCCCGGCGGGCGGGCAGTGCTGTTGCCTTCTGAGAAACATACCAGAGGGGGAAGCTGGGAGGGTGGGTCCAGACTGGGTCACACACCCCCACACTCCCCTCTCCAAACCTCCGGGGTGTTTACCCGCAGCAGCCGCAAGGCCTGGTCGTAATTCTCGTGCCGGAGCTCCAGCTCGCCACACTCGCACCACACACTTGCCAGGTCATCCACTTGCTTGAAGCTCACCTTGGTGGCCTTCTCCAGGATGATGCGGGCCTGACGGGGCAGGCAGAGGTCGGGCTGAGACCCTGCCCGCCAGCTGCCTGAGTTCTCTGAACAAGGACACATCTCCACACACACACACTGCAAATGGACTCACATCATCCAGCTGCCCATTGTCCTCGTAAAACTTGGCAAATGCAACCCACAGCGTATGGGGTTTGCCCGTAGCCTTGAAGGGGTCCACTGTCTGCACAGCCTCCGTGTACGTGTTGATGATCTGTGCAGGAGAGGCAGGGTCAGGCTGGACAACTGGGGCCATGGCAGGCGGGGATGGGGTGGGCTCTGAGGGGGCAGGGCCATCACGCACCTCCCGGGGGCGGCCCTGGTGCAGGGCCACGCGCTTGTGCCACTCATGGACGTGGTGCGGGTTCTGGCGCAGCAAGACGCTGTTGAGGAGCAGGGGCCGCCGGCTGATCAGCTGCTCAAAGCGGGCCAGGCGCAGCTCCAAGTCCACGTCATCTGGGCCACGGGGAGGGCCAGGGAGCGGGGCTGAGGGACTCAGCACGCACTCACTTCCATCTCCCAGCCCTCTCCCGCCAGCCCTTGGCCCAGTGCTCTGACCTTCCGGAGTCATCCCATTGTCCACTCTGCACTCCTTCCCTGAGCTGCCCCAAGGCCATCCTGACCCGACTCACTCCTAGCCCTCGTCATTCCCCAGCCCTCCTTCCCTGCTGCCCGCTGCCACCCTCCAGCCCTCCCTCTCCACCCAGCCTATGTCCA